GGAAAAAGTAGAAGCTATATCTGTGTTTATTTTAGCCTTGCCATGTTACTATGCATGTTGCATTAACTCCAAAGTTCAGTTTCGAGCTGCCAGTGCTTGTCCTTATGTGCTCTGTGGAAGCTCACAAATCAGTGAATGGCCATTTGTAGATGGATCTACATTTTCCTGCGCTTATAGAGGTTACCAATGGCCTCTAGTGCCAGCGCAGGAATATAACTGAGGGCTTTGTTACATGTATGAAACGACAGTATCATAGGCACTGTTTGATGACATCACATTTTGTCTGGGATGATGTCAAATGGATCTGATGGAGTTTACCACAGTGCAATAGTGAATTCTAAATTCAGCAATATAAAACACATGCTCAGTTCATTGGGCAAATCGAAGTTTGCTTTTTTGTGTGTGAATTTTTTTTAGATTTTCTGAGTTTCAATAACAAGAACTGGGGGTTGAAATTTGCTTTGTAACACTAATACTTTTAGAGTGTAAGCTCTCATGAGCAGGGCCCTCCTTACCATCTTGTCTTGATATATATTGTAACTGTAATGCCTTCCTTATAATGTACAGTGCTGCACAAACTGTTGGCGCTATATACATCCTGAAGAATAATAATAATAATATCATACAGGGAATGGCAGCATGAATATTTGAGTCCAATGTTTCCCATTATGGATAGCGCAGGAAAGGGTTTTTATTGCTATCTGTTTCCTTATTGTGGGAAACACCGTTCTTTTCAGGACAGGAAGTTATGGGAAATCTTTCTATTGTGAACACAAATAAAAGCATATTTATAGTACAGTGACAAAGGGTACAAACTTCTCAAAATGTTCTTATTGCTGTCTGTGCCTTCATGTTTTTCTGATTCTTGTATGGATGTCTCAGGGACAGGAAGTGAAATTCCCCAGTAATGTCACAGTCAAAGTTGGGCAGGTTGTCGAAGATCTGGCTGTCTGACCACTGGTCCCTGAGATGACCCTGGTCCCTTACTGACATCATATGATCCGATTCCTCAAGATCAAGTAAACTGTGAATGTGTCTTGAAGGATTGTGGTGGATTGGTTGATGTGTTTCATACCCCCCTTTAATTATAGAAGATGGTTCCCATTATGCTTGTTGGTAAACATGCACAGTAAATGGGTTTGCAGTAGGGATGTTCAGATACCAAGTACGTACTCAGTACAAGTACAGATACTTTTCCAGCTCCAAGACTAGACTAGACTAGAGAAAAAGTCAAAAGTTAGGAGGCAGCTGTCATTTGTAAGGAGCACACGGAGCTCCCGGGATTTGTACATCTCTGTTTTAATGTATGATTCTGTTTTTATAAATATATATAATGGGATGCATCGATACAATTTTTCCAAGTACAAGTACTGGTACTTGTCCAAGTACTCACAGATACAAGTACTGATATATTTTTGTTTATTGTCATGTGACAGTTTTTCTAAAACAATACAGACTAATGATTTCAGGACAGTGGTGGAGTGCCAGAGCCAGGTCCCAACTGCAACCGCTGCAACCACTGCAACCCTGGTAGTTCTCATGAAAATGCCAAGTATCAGCACTGGTATCTGAACTGGTATCTGGACATCCCTAGTTTGCAGTTTGGCGAAATTAAGCTTTGTAGTGCAGTTAACACACAAACAAACAGAGGGGCTCCCAGATCTCACAAAAGGGGTTCTTTGTTGGGGGGATCACTATTTATAAAGACATTGGGTACATCTTTTGAATTCCTAAAAAGGGGTTAAATCTTTTTGAAATTCACTGGGCTAGCATAAGAAATTACTGCTTCAGTAACTAAAATGTGCAGAGCAATGATATATTCACTGGGGTGTGTGTATTGTATCCTATTCTGCATTGTGCTTCAATTCAGATAAAAGACATAACATATATAAATAATTGATTTGCCCTAATATATATGCATGCAAATTCCTCCAGGCTGCAGAAAAACATAACATTCCCGAATTACAATCCATAGCTTTATAAATGGTGTGATTCTCCTGCATACAGTATAAGATAGAGAGATACAAGCAAACATTCAGGCAAGTCTAAAATTTTTCAATCACTTTTTCTACTGAATTGAGTATCGCTATGAATATAAATATACAAATATATACACACACACATGCCACACAAATTTATAAATTACTACACATAAAAATCCCCAATAATAATGGCACAAAGATCAGAAATTCCACAGAATCAAAAATATGTGATGTAAAAATAGAAACCTGACTTGGTAATTTAGTATTCTTGCAAAGTGATTAAGTAAACCCATGAAACAGCGATCAACTTGCGCAAATAAGTAGTTAAATACACTTGACAGTTTTACCTTTGAAAAATATTTTTTTATTATTATTTACAAGCAAAAAAAAAAACAGAAATCCTGCTGAGTTTAGCTGGAAATATCAATTAGGAAACCACTCGTTACAACCACACACAGACACACAAAGGTTGAACTTGATGGACCTGTGTCTTTATTCAACCTCAAATAATATGTAACTATGTAACTATGTTATAGAAGGCTAGAAAGGGTACAATTTGTAGAAGGAGGAACCCCTCTTTATAGAAAATCAGCATGTTAAAAAAATATATATCAACACTCTGTTTCTACTTTACTGACCATGTTTTACGAGCCTGAAGTCGGCTATAGAATTGTTTCCCTGACACATGAAAATAAAAATAAAGAAAAACTTGTTTTTACTAAAAATTATTTTTGGCTGAACAGAAAATGCAGTTGTGGGGAGACTATTTGCGACCATTATTTTATTATTCTATACATATTTATTTATATCAATTGCACATAATATAATCTGAGTCCAAAAAGTAGCTCACAGTGCACAAAAATCTTAATAATAAACAAATATTAAGATGTAAAATAATTACATTTGTTGTTGGAAACATTTTTCAATTCTGTTTATATTGCTATGCAAAATGTTTAAAAAAAAAAACAAAAAACTTGCTCAAACATATAAGTGTGTATTAAAAGTATTAAAAATAGGATCCCTGAGTCATTGTGACAATATATAT